GCTACATAAAGAAAGCTAGGCCGATACACGTTAGGTGAGAGCATCTTTCAATTAACTAGCTTGGTACAATTGGATTGATGAATAGTGACTCAATTCCCTTGAAGAAATTAGGCATACTAAATTGACCATGAAGAAATTTGGCATTAAAAAATCAAACAAATTCTTCTGCATAAATGCTTTGTAAACTAGAATATTCTATAGAAATAAGGTATTATGGTAGTTAATTCTGCTATATAAATCTGGTGTTTTTAAGCCAATTTGGCATCCCAAAACAATGATCATTTTTGAACTTTCAGAGGAAGAGAAGAGAAGACATTAATACATCATTGAAGGTGCTACTTTATAGAATTGCAAACCAATTTGTTCATTTAGTCTTTTCATCTGACCAAATTATACTAATTCTTTCTAACTATATTATTGTCCAGTGCAGAATACTGTTTATAACCTTGAAAACTAGAGGGAGTTATTTTAATTTTTGTTATTATTTCCCTCTTAATATTATCAGGGACCAAACCCTACTGAAATAAGCAAAACCTGAAAAATGTTTTCCATATGATTGGTAACACCTATATATAAAAAAATTACACATACATATCTGTATGAAGAAACAAAACAGTTTATATATCTTTAAAACATCAAATTAGAGAACTTAAGACACTAGCATATTTTAGTCAAGACAACCATTTTTATAAAATAAAATATTTTAATTTTTGGTTTGGGTCAATCAAAAATATTCAAACATGTGGTATTTGTCTCTCACTAACTGGTTTATTTCATTTAGCATAATATTCTCCGGGCTCATCCATCCTGTCACAAAAGGTAACAGTTTCTTCTTTTTCACTGCTGTGTAGTATTCCATTGTTTAAATGTACCACAGCTTCATTATTCATTCATCTACTAATGGACACTTAGGCTATTTCCAGATCTTGGCTTTTATACATAAGGCTACTATGAACACAGGGGTGGATATATTTTTTGTGGTGTTCTGGGGTTCTTAGCTTATACTCCCAGGAGTGGACTTGCTGGATCAAAAGGGAGTTACATTTTTAATTTTTTGAGGATACTCCATATTGTTTTCCACAGTGGCTGCACCGGACTACATTCTTAACAACAGTGAACTAGGGTTCCCTTTTCTCTACATCTTTACCAACACTTGTTGGTTGGTTTATTGATGGTAGTCATTCTGAAAGGTATAAGGTGACATCTCATTGTGGTTTTAATCTGTATTTCTCTGATGATCAGTGATATTGAGCATTTAAAAAATTTGTCTACAGGCTATTGTATGTCCTCTTTGTGTAAGTGTCTATTCAGGTCGGTTGCTCCTTTCTTAATTGGGCTGTTTGTCTTCCTAGTGTTGCATTGTATTAGTTCTTTGTATATTTTGGAGATTAAACCTTTATCAGATATATGCTTGGCAAAAATGTTCTTCCATTTTGCCCCTATTTGTCTTGCTGATGGTTCAGTCAGTGAATGACAAATACCACATGATCTTGCTTATATGTGGAATCTAATGAACATAATAAACCAACAAACAGAATAGAAACAGAAGCACAAATACATAGAACAGACTGACAGTATCCAGAGGGGAAGTAGGGGGAGACCAGATGAAAGATGACAAAGAGATTAACCAAAGAACATTTATGCACAGCCTATGGATAGAGACATGATATGGGGATTGACTGAGAGAGGGGAGAGGGTGGGGCTGGATGGAGGTGGGGAAGGAGAGGAAAAAGCAGGAATAACTGTAATTGCATAAACAATAAAAAAGATTAACAAAAAATATTAAACACAAAATTTTCATTACAAATTCTAAATAGGTTTTAAATGCTGATAACCTAGTTGGACTAGGTTTGATGGACTAAAATGATAAACCAGCTTTCCTGGTCCAATCAGCAGTAAACATTTGTTAATGATGGACTGGACCATACAGCACGCACTGGGCTCAGGAGCAGATGGAACTGAGATTTCTAATATAGAATGTCGTGCAGTAGTGTTGGTCCTTGTCCAGATGCTTTTCCTGGGGTGGGGGAGGGGGTTGGGCTTCTAGAGCTGCACTTTAGAGGAGCCTGGTTACTGTTTCTATGAGTAAGATAAAATGGTGTTTATCCTCTGTTGATCAATATCATCTTGTTTGAACTTATTGAGTCATTTAGAGACACATACGGTAATGAGAGCATTGTGTAATAGTACCCAACGTACTACTCAGCTTTCTGAGAGATGACAATATTTTAAATGTTATTGAAACATTTTTAATATCAACTGTGTGACAAAATGAACACACATTATGGCAGGTATCCTGTGTGTTTCAGTGGAAAGAGAGTTGGGCTTTTAACTAAGAGTTTTCTCGAGCAACATTCTATAAAATATACTGTTTTTTGTTGTTGTTGTTGTTGTTGTTGTTTAGAATAAAAGTGGTAAAGGTTGTCTCTTTCTCTGAATAAATGGAATAAGGTTATTATTTGTGGCTAATGAAAATTTCATTATTTATGTATAATTTTTAACTTAAACTCTATTGATAATGTTTTAACAAAGAGGTGCTAATGGATAGGTCCAGAAAGCTTTGGAAATTTTTCTGGAGGTTGTTACACATAAGAGAATGAAAAGGGAAGATGATTTTGCTTAATTCCTTGTGTGCTCATAACTATGTTTAACTTTTGCTACATCATCTCATTCAATCTCACTAAATTCTATGGGGCAGATTTTGCCCCTGTTTTGTATTGGAGGAATCTGAGATTCAGAGAAGTTAAATATTATGCCCAAGGTCATAAGGAGTTTTGGTGCAGGTATTCCAAATCAGCTCTGTCAGGAAGAAAGTCCAATGTTCAATCTATAATTAATCTGGAGCACACAGGATTGTGTGATTGTGTGATTGGGGGATGGCTAGATTGTAAGATCCCTTTTTAATTGTGATGATTTCAATAGTGGTGATTTCAATCAATTGTTACGAATGTTGGATATGGGCTATAAAAATGATTTGTTCTTTCTTAATCTGTGTTTTGAGGAATACCGTTTCTGAGATGTTTATAGGTATTCCTGGAAGATGTTATGTTGTAAATTAAGCTTAGAAAACAAAGCATTGCCTACTGTCCTAGTCATTTACAATGAATGAACACATTTACACACAGAGTAAATCTTCAGTTACTGTGAGTACAGTATAATAGTGACATGCTTGGGCTCTGGAATCAGACCACCTGGCTGAGAAACCTGGTTCTGCCACTTTCCAGGTGGGTGATGTTAAGTCTGTTAAGTAGGTTACTTATTCGAGCCTCAGTGTTCTCACTTGTAAAATGTTATAATAGTATCTACTTTATATATCTGTTCTAAGAATAACATGAAATAAATGCATGGCAGTGCTGAGAAATGCACCTGACAATATATTGCTTGTATTTCCAATACATGCCTGTTACTATTATTATTACTCAAAACATTCATGTAGTAACAAGACCTGTATAGCCACCATTTCCTCAATTTAGATGACAATGGAGTCACTTTTTTGGAACCACATTTATTAATCTCCACTGAATACAATATAAGAAACGTACCTGAAATGACACAAAACCAATGTGGTATTAGCCCAGTTGGAAATAACTGAATATTCCATGTTTTTATGTCTATTGTGTCATTTTATATTTGTGTATAACAACTAATATTTTTCTTGCCAATTATCTTCCCCCTGCACTTACACTTGATAAATAATAAATTGGAATAGTAACATTGAGAATTGTCTCAAATGGGCAGAATCAACATGATTCCAGATAATATGGCTCTTACAAATGAACCTATACATCATTTGTCTATTACTCTGTATTTAGCAGGGGAGAGCCTCAGTGCTTTGGCAAACAAGTGATTTCACTTTTATTTTCAGACCTACTGTATGCATCTCAGCACATAGTATGAAGAATGTTTCAGACCAGACCAGCACATCTTTGCTCCTAAATTACAATATAATTAGAGTTGAATTTGCCAATGTATACTTTGCAAAACACTAATCCTGCATAATATGTTTTTCATCTTCTTGGAGTATACATAATACACATCTGAGAAGTTCTATGATAAATAAACTTATTTCGCTGAAACCCATTCTCTTTGGAACTTTGATAATCATGGAGCAAAAGTCTTTCAGGGATTTCTGGTAGTAATGGGATATTACTGACATGTGCCCTGATTGATTTATTTCTTTAAATAAAATACCATCATATTCTGGTTGCAAATCATCTTTTTGGAGTGAACAAAAAGATTACGTGAAAATGTATCCACTGCAGCACAATTGCCTAACCATCCTGAAAGGAAAAGATCTAATAATTAGCAGTCACAATTAACACACTCAGAGCCAACCATTTTCTATGACTGGTTTTGTTTTCCTTTTTGCTAGAATGAAAAGTGAATAGCTTAGGGCATTCCTTTGGTTAGTACAATAATGGCAGAGGAAATAGCAAGAATTCACCAAGGTGGTATTTTTGTTATGTATTTTGGGGGTTATTTTTGGTGGTGGTACAGGCTGAAGAAGAGAAAAAGAGATCATTGAATATATGAACTTTAAATATGATAGGAATTATGACCCATACAGAGAACTCAGGCTGCCAGTGATGGTAATACTATTTCCTTTGTTAATACATTTTTTTTGTTTCCCAGTGTCCCAGGACCAAGAGAGGTAGTGAACCAGAACTCTCCCTGCTGTCTGGTTATTGCTAAATAAACATTTCAGAAGCATTAGCCCCACTCTTGAACCCAAAGTGGTAAATCTGCATTTTTTTAAACCTCAGAAAATGATTAAATCAAGGAACAAAAGATGGCTGCCTTCTCATTTTGAGATGATATGATTATCCTAATGTTTTCTTTGGTTTTCGGATTGCTTCACAGTATAAAAACAAACTAGAAAAATCCCTGAATTAGGCTCTATAATAGAAGAGGGTAGACGCGGTTTTCACTGCATTTCCACTGATCCACACTGCACAGTTTGACAGATATGAAATAGAAAAAGCAAAACACATGGACCATACCTGAGTGATTTCAGAGATTCCCACCCGGAAAAGGTTTCCTTGATTATGGCGAATTCAACGTGTCACTCTGGTTATGCGCTAATCATCATATCAAACTCCAAAGGTCCAGTGGCTTTAGGTTTGGTTTACAATTCCTGGGAGTTAAACTTTAACTCACCCTGTCTCTTGCATCCATGCAGCCCTTTGACCAGATAATTGGGTCACTACAGCCCAAACAGAATCTACAAAACTACTGTTGTCATTTGTTTACAAAATGAAAATGAAGTTTTGCATTAAAAACATTGATGTGAATATTATTTTGAAACTGTTGCGCTGCATACATTTCAAAGTAGAACTCATGGGCATTTGGGTAAACTAAGCTTTTTTTTTTTTTTTTTTACATTAGCTCCCTGTTTTGTACTTATGCCAAAATGATATTAAGCCTAAGGTAACTTAGGAGAATATTTGTTTACTCTTTTTATATCACTGTATTACAAGGAGTAAAGTGTAGAGTTTTAGGTCAAGTATGTAGCTAAATGCTAGCTTACAAAATTAAAATACACAAAGCATTTATATAAGAAAGTAAATAGGGTCAGATCTCGTTGGGGTGAGCATGCGTTTTATACAAGCTGCTCATTCAGATTTTAAGAGAAGACCATCACTGTGAAAGCATAATAATCAACTATGTAGCAGGCTATATGAGAGGCAAGGCTGTTGCTGATTGCTTGAAATCCCAGTGGTAACTGTGTTTCTTAAAGAATCGAGAAACAGTATTTTTAATATTATAAACCCTACATTCTAAATTCAGTGGGAAGAGCTCTAGTCTATAGAGGAAATTCCTAAGGGTAATAAAGCCCACTTAAACAAATAAACAAACAGACAAACTAAAACCCTTCTAATTTTGAGTAAATTTTAAGGGTTTATAAAACCACAAGCCCCAAAACTAGAATTAGAGGACACTCTCAGTTGGCCTCAGCGCTGGTTAGGGGAGTCTAATTTTCTAGGACCGAACTCTTCACAGGAGTACACTGTCTACAGAAAAGCACAGAATGAGCAGCCATAATATAGGCATATAGGAAGATAAGTCAATAAAACACACCTCAGAATATAACACAGGCAAAACAAAAACAACCAACTAGACAAACAAACATAAAAACACAACACCATTGGATTTCTAGTCCTGCCTACAGTTTTAAGTTCTCAAATACGGGAAGCCGTGATTTACCTCAACTTCCCCCAAAGCACTGCTCAGCAAGGTTTAACAAAGCACCCCAGGAACCATTGTTTTGCCCTGGAATTGTACCCCTGGAGTGAGATCTAAGGGAAACCTTTATGTCGCACTCAGCCAAACAGCTGTAGGAAGGACAAGGGCTTCTACAACCTCTGTGGGAATAGACCTCCCATCAAGCAGGGCTATCAGATTCTTTCATGAAAGCTCAGTCTGGGTTTACCGTTCCGACATAAGTGAGGAATTCTTACCTTGAGTCTGCCTGGTCCTACAAAGGATTGTTGATGTAAGATAGTCTGAAAAGTGTTTCCTTTATTATTTTGTGTGGTAGGTGCCTGGATGGGAAGAAGTGGAGATGAGGAAAGGAAAGCCAGTGTTTTTTAGGTATCTTGGAACAACAACAATAAAAAAATAACAGGCCTAAGAATGAATTATATTTATTAGTTTATTTAAAAAAATAATTTTTTTATGGGGCCCAGCATTCAACAAAGCAGGGCAACAATTATGTTAAACCAAAGTGTCTGGAAATCAATTAAAGCAGTCCTGAAATTGAAGTCTGGCAATTCAAGCAGGAAAATTCATATATTACTCATAAAAGCCAATGGTAGAGGTGGCATTATTAGGATATTGCTGAAAAGCTTTGTTCCTTTTTATTTTCTCAGCCATATTTTGTTGGAACAATAGGGATATGTTGATCAACAATAAAAAAGAAAAAATACCAGATCAGCCTCTTGCTTTCTGAGGGTTAATTAGGAAACAGCCTGTGACCCTAGAACAAAGAGAAACCAACTGATAATGAGATCTAATTCATGACCTTGATCTCATCATTCTAATCAAGGGAAATAGCTGTGCCTAGAATGGCAAGGCTTGCTTTTATTTTGTAAAAACACACCCGGTTTAGCTCTCTTGGGGCCTCGTTCCCCTGGAAGGGACAAAGCAATAAACAAATAAACCTGGTTTAAACAGTGACTGGTAAATATTTGTTCATTTGTTTATTCCACAAACAATTACTGAGGACTTACTCTCTGCTAAGCATTGTATTAGTTGGGTGATGATTTAAAATGAAAGTAGATTCTATTAGCAGGCTGTAAAAATCAATAAACTGGGTTGAATACAACAGAATAGAAAATATCCAGTGAACTGCATTTATGAAGGGTATGAAATGTTCATGAAACTTCTGTTTCAGTTAACCTGTTTATGTGTACTGGTTATGGTGTAATTTTTATTTATTTGTTATTGGGGAGCACAATTTAAAAAGAATGCAAAAATCCTGTGTTAGTCTTTAGGGATTTAGTGGTTAACAAACCAGACACAGGGTATATGCATTAACCAACTACTCCCTCCAATGATTGTCTTAGTTGTAACAAATACTACAAAGAAGTACAAGATGCTAAACAACATGGACCTAATCTAGTGTATGACTGGGGCGAGTTGAGGAAAGTCTTCTAGAACATCAGATATTTAAACTGAAGACTGAGGGATGCATAGGGTAGTAAGGTGGGCATAGTAGGTGGAAATAGCACATGTGGATGTCCTGAGTTTGAATGAGTTAGGCACATTCAAATAACTGGTAGTGAAGTCTAGTTGAGGGACAAAAGGGAGATGAGGGGAAAGTGGTGGAGGTCTGCTCATACAGGTTTTCAGTGTTATCCTGGGGCAATGGGAAGGCACTGCAGGGTCTTAAGAAGGTGAGCAACATGATTTACATACATATATATGTATATATGTGTGTGTGTGTGTGTGTGTGTATATATATATATATATATATATATATATATATATATTCTGGGTGTAGAGTTGAGATTAAATTGTCATAGAAGACATTGTCCCTCTCCTTTTTTATTGAATTATAATTTACATGTAACATTATATTAGTTACTTTTTTTAAATCAAAATATGCTTGTGTTAGAATTATTTCATTCGTGTATGTATTCAAGTCAGAGTTAGTGATTTGTATTTCAGGGAAGCTTTGCCTCCCTGAAATATAGAGGGAGCAGTTAGAAAGGAGGTGGTAGGTGCTGGTGGTTAGGATTAGGGTGTTGGCATTAGAGCCAGAAAAAAATGGACAAAAGAAGAGGTTTGCAAAGTGGACTGTACTCAGGTTCACAGTAGGTGTTCATTAAATTGTAGTTATGATAAATCATTCGCATGTGAATTACTTGGCTGGTGGATTTTAATCTTGTTTTTAATATCAGACTGATGTTGCCACCCAGCAGAGCTGGCATATTTAGGTAAAAACCATTGGTTATTGCTGGCTTAGGTAAACATAAAACTTAAACTAAAATATAATTCAAAGCTAGAAATTACCAAGTGTAAGAAGCTTCCCTCCCAGCCATCATCCTCCCTCTTCTACCTCAAGGAAACATTTATTTACTATTTTCAATGTCCTAGGAACTTAAAATTCATTTTAGATGTTGGGTGGTTGAGTAGAGGCATTTAATTAACTTGAAGGGAATACTCTAAAGAATGAAAGGACCATGTCAGACGCACGATATAGGACAAGAGCCTAGTTCTCTATTTTTGCCGATTGTGTAGAAAGAGCTTTGACTCTGAGTCTGGCACCTCAGGAATCTAGCCTTAACGGCTTCACTTATGAGCTACGTAAGCTTGAGCAAGCTTTGGTCTCTTGTCTGAGTCTCGGTGTCTTTGCCTTTAATGAGAAAAACATCTTCCTCCCTTATCTACCTCATTGACTATTGAGAGGGTCAAATGAATTGGCATATGTGAAAGTAATTTGAAAGTAATCGAGTACCATAAGAGTACCGAGTGGGATAATTACAGAGCAAATTAAATCTACGTGCTTCAGCCTATGGCAGTGCTGCTTCTTGTTATAATCTGTGAGACAAAGACTTCTAGGATTTATGCCTGCTCTTTTAGAGATTCACAGCATTTCAAACCTAAAAGCCGGATGCTATTCTTAATGCCTACAAGACTCTGAAAGACAGCAGAATTTGATTCAGTGGGTTAGAATCCATCTGTTCTCGAACTGTCATATCCCAGGATTTTAGACTTTTAAAAAGTATTGGTTTTGTAACTAGGGCCATCTAGTGTTGAACTGATCAACACACACACACACAGACACACACACACACACCTTTGCTTAATGCTCTCGGAAATTGTGTTTGGGTCTCCTGAATGACATTTTCAATATCACACAATTGCAGGATTAAATGCATACTTGAGAATTTATCTAAAGTCTAGACTAAAAACCTGGGCAGTAAGTGGATGCCGCTCTGGGCCTGCCCTTTAAAGGTGAGTCGAGTGTCTCCCAGTTCTCCTTCCCGTTTCTTTTTCAGCCATGCCTGTGTTTCATGAAGCTTTCTGAAATCAGAGTTATTAAATGTTTCCTTGTACTTTAAAAGCAATATTATTTAGCTCAACCAACATAAAAGCAAATATTGATTTTTGAAAAAGAACAATTTTAGAAAAATCTACTTATCTAATCTAGTTTTTTCCTTTATAAATATTAGAAAATACATACCATTAGATCTTTAATCTCTACTGTGCTCTATTTTGTGAAGAATTCCCACAGAAAAATTTCCATTAACTTTCAGATAACTTCTTGAGATTGTTATTATGTAATCTCTCTTTTCATGATCATGTCATTACCATTTCCTTGAGGTAATTTTACTAAGTTTTGACAAAAGTAGATATATTCTTTTCAGAAGATAGCAGGCATTTGGAATCAACGTTAAAACACATATGCCCATATGCACATGTGTGTACCACACCACACACGCCTGCACAACAGACAAGGCTATGGTATTACCATAATCTTTTTTCCTCTTTCACACACTTGTACCATTCCTCATGTTCAACCCATGTTTTAAATTCTTCAGGTTAATGAAGAATCTGAGAAGTTAGCAATTTCTAGCACTTTA